ACTTCAGAACTAGATATTGAAGGCGTGGAAAGTGATGAACTGTGGCTTCCCAATGGACCAAATCAGTGTTCTCAATCAGCAAGCGTGTCAGACGACAAAAACCTTTAGTCTTTGGCTCCCATTTAGGTCCATGGAAAGCAAAATGTTTGAGTTTGAGCACCTCAAGTCTGGGTAACATGCCAATCAAGCTCGTGTCTTCCCATGGCAAATAACTCCAACTTAAACTCAATTGCCTAAGAGAACATGGCAGGGCAGAAAAAAATGATATTTGCCGCGCTTCTACTCTTTGTTTGTAGAAGCAACACTCAAGTGTTTCAAGCTCTTTCAAGTACTGTAGATTCCCAAGTAATACAGATGGCTCACATATGCCGCAGTCTTCTTCTGTCTCACAAATTTCAAGTTTCTTGAGATGGGGCATGACACTGAAAACTTCCTTTGTGCAGCATGAAATTTTGATGGTAGAGAGAGTTTGTAGGTTTTTTGAAACAAATAGCTGAGGGAGTTCACTATTAGCTCCAGGAGGATTCTTCAAATAAATGGTCACACTATACTGGAGATGCCTCAATGAAGGCATACTCCAAAACTCCAGTAACAATGTTGGGCTACTGCCAGACTCCCGGCAGTGCCATGGACCATGAATCACCAACGTTTGGAGATTCCTTAGTTGTGATACTGATGCAGGAAGCTCATAAGTAGCACTCAGCGCAAGATACCTCAAATGAATCAGTTTTAGTATTCGGGCAGGGAAGTAATCAAAATGCAGAAAGAATATGTCTAATACTCTAAGCACCTTAAAGCCTAATTGAAAGAACAGAATATTCGGAACAATATTAGTACCCAATGTGAAACACATAAAAGACGAGACGTGTGGGATTCCAGGTGCCGCAGCCACATCACTGTAAGGATCCAAATGGAAACTGAGGCGATGCTGATTACGCAAGCCTACTCGAGAGCGTTTGGTACCTCTCTTTTGTATCACATGCATGAAGTCCTCTTTCTGTGCTTCTCTCAAGCATAATTCACGTAAGAAATCATGGAGACGACAGGTCTTGACTTTTCCTCCAAAACACTCCTTTTCAATGAAAACTAAGTTTCTACCAATAAGGTCTTCCAAATACTCCTCTGCCACCTGTTCTAGATTTTCTGAAGATTGGGGATCCGAGAATCCCTCTGCAGCCCATAGATTAATCAACTTTTGAACTTCTATTTCACAGTCTTCAGGGAAAGCCGCCATATGGAGGAAGCAGGCTTTGAGATGATGGGGCAAATAATTGTAACTCAAAGCAAGTATATCCAGGCATTCTTCTGGATTAGTGGAGATGATTGCGCATACCTTCTCTGCAAAATTATTCCAACAGTCATATGTCTTGACGACACGTGAAAGTACACCAGCCATTACAACAATTGCTAGTGGTAGTCCTTGGCATCGTTTAGCTATAAGCTTTCCACATTTCTCCAATTCAGGTGGGCAACTTGCTATCCCAAATACAAGCTTCTCCAACAGTTCCCAACTCTGCTCAGTATCCAGAAGACTCATACAATGAGGAGGCTTCTTTGCATTGACGTAGCTAGCCAACTCTGTAACGCGGCTGGTTAATAAGATTCTACTACCAGTTTTGTCATCAGGAAAGCATCTTTTGACATCATTCCAAGCATCGATACTCCATATGTCATCCATAACAATCAAGTACCTCTTACCTTTCAAACTTCTGTACACAACTTCAGCTAATTGAGCGTCGTTTTTCTCTACCAATTTATCAGTGGAGTGACCAAGACAGCCCAAAAGGCCCAGTAACAAATCTCTGACTTGATATACTTGGGAAACTGTGATCCATGCACGGCAATAGAAGTGATATTCAGTGTAAGAATGACGAAAAGCTTTTCGAGCAAGAGTTGTCTTACCAATGCCGCCCATCCCTAAAATGGTCACAATTTCTAGCCCTGATGGCACTCTGGTGAGTCCCTCCAGGAGGCTAACCAGTTCATCATCAAGACCCACCACAATGTCGTCCTTATTTGAATGGCGTAGAGACATGCTGCCAATTGATGTGTGCGCACTTGAACTCTCATCATTTATCTTTGTAATCATTTCTTTAATGGGTTGAATCTGCATTGATGCCTGCACCAAATATTGGGAAATGCCCTTCTTTCCGTAGAAAATCCTGTCCACTGCACACTCAAGAATCTTTCCAGAATCTTGTAATTTTGCAGGAATCCCAGCCAATAAGCAAAAGGGGTACGTCATAATGGACTCGATTTGGTAGTCTACCCTACATTGTTCGACAGGAACCCTTGCTCTATCTGCAACATCTTTCATACATTTCAGCAATTCATGATGAGGGCAGAATTTATTAGAAGAATCCTCCTTAAGAAAGGTTAGCAAGAACCGAATATCCTGGTGGAGAGTTGTTAAATCGGAAGTGGCTTTCGAGAAGCTAGTGATGCTGTCATCGACCCGACGACAGGTTCTCCACAAATGTCCCATCTTGTTAACAATTACTGGAAGTCGGCTCTGGCGAAATGCCAACGACAACAGCTGTTCAAGGTCTGGAAAGGAGATGGTTCCATTTGAATGTTGTACGGTCGAGTCAAGTTTGCCGACGTAGGGGTCATCAGTCTCACTGCTTGGTGAGGAGAACGGGGAATCAACTACTGGTGTTTCACTGTCTACTTGAGAATATACAATTTGTATAAAAAAATCTGGCAATTCTCGAGGATTTAGATCCTCTTCCACATGGCCATATCGGTACAAGAAATGGTTAGGCCTGCCAGACAAGCAGTCTTGGACAGTGCTGTGGAGAAATTTCCTCAAATTTTCCTCCAAGGATGTGATCTCCTTGAATATCTGAGGCTTTCCCTCCGCAAGAAGTTCAAATTTTGGCTTTGTACTACTAGTAAAGTATAGTAGCAATCTTTGTCTGATCTCCAAAGTATCAGCTGAATGAGACCTCCCAAGTGCCTCAATAAAATCTTCTACTGACGATTGCAGAGATCGATCAGTTTCTTCAATTAGCTCCCACAGACGAGAGCCCGAGCTCGAGCTCGACACTGCAGAGGGTTCTCCTGCCGTCAAAAGCAATAAGAATTCATCGAGTTTTGGTTTGAGAGCTTCGGCTTTCATTTTCTTAACTTCGAGGATCAACAACGGGAACTTCAGTAGATAATCCAGCGTTTGCAGAAGAGAAGCCAGTGCAGCATAAGTCGCCATCTCTGATCAACAGGATGGAAAAGCTCCATTAGTTATCTGATTTCAAGAAAGAAGAAATCCAAAGAGTAAGATCAAAGAATTACTAAAAGCAAAAAAAGATCGTACCAATAGTTCAATTTTGAAGTAGAAGAAGCTTGCTGGTCGCGGCTGATCGGAAAATTTACTACCGGTAGTAGACAAGATTAGAAACCATGAAAGCGGGGAGGTTTTCTTTGGAGCCCGCTGGTCAACTCTATTCAAACTTCAGTCCGCAAAGAGCCATATTCACATTACAACTTTAGCCCCGGTTTACCGGGGAATTTAGCATTTAGGCGCACTTTTTAGCTTCAATCAAAACAGGAAAGCGTCTGCGTGGCTGGGACCCGTTCTATTACCTAAAAAATTCCTCCGTCTGCCGCTCCACCCGCCACGCCACTGGTGCCCCAATCCCCACTTTTACTTTACTTTTTACGTGACTTTATTTTTATATATGTATAACACTAATGATAATAGATTTAGCAAAAAATTTAACATGAGATAAAATTTAAAAATTATTTTAATCTCATGGATCTGTTTTTTTATATTGGATATTACATAAATTCTCGGTCAATTATTATTTAACAACATGCCATAACCAAAAAAATGGGATAAACTCACGTAACAAAATTATCAGTATATTATATATCTTATATATATAATATTATAATTTATTGATTTTTTTTTTTTTGGTTCAGAAGTAACTTATTGAAAGTGAAGCATTTTTAATGACACTGACTTGTACAACGCCTGGGGTGATTTACCCAACATTTTAGTAGTGTTACTACCGTCTCGTGTGGCAGCAAGAGCTATGCTTCTTCAGGCTAGTCATGAACTCAAGGCGACCATCATCTTTTTCAATGAAATGGATAGTGAATCAGCTGTAACTTGTACGCCAGTTTTTTTGGATCTTGCTTGAGAGAATTGCAGTGCGAATGTTCACCTGAATTGGTCAAAAGCATGAGGGATGTCGTTAAAAAAAAAAAAAAAAAACACTTGATGCTGCAAGCTGTTTGACAGAAGATCGTCTCATCTCGAGTTTTTGAAAGTTCAAAGATGTATTCTGGGGTTATTCTACCAGATCAGGAAAGGCCAAGAAGCATTCCATTCTTGGTTTTGTTGGAGGCGTTAGGAGGGTTTCATGCCATCACAGCAGGAGAGATTGATATGATATGTGAGAAAATTTGGTAGAGAAGATATTCTAATGCAAAATGCTTCATTTTAGCTTTTCACATCCAACTGCGAGAAATGGTGCTTTTGCTTTTCCTTTATCCACAGAAATCAAAAGAAGAAGAAATGGTTCTTTTAACTTTTGAGGAGAAGGAAAATAGGCAGATATCCATTCCTGATTCATATGAAGTCAGCCCCCTCAAAATAAAGGAGCATTGCTGTATGCAATCACATTGCAGTTGTAGAACATCAGCAGCATAGCTTAGTATTCTCCAAGGAGTTACTCTTGCCTGACTTTTAATTTTCAATAGAACATTTTGTAGGCTCATCATGCGTTACAGAAGACACACGTAGTCTGTGTCATTATGCATTTTCCAGGAAGGAAAAGTAGTCTGTCTGTGTGTAGAAAAAGTTAAGTTCGATATTCAGAAAACTTCAAACGCATTGCTTCTTTCCTTCTTTCTTCATTTAGACGTAGTTCCTCTTCTCCAAGAATTTGTCAAGCGCGTGGTCCACATCACTATGTCAATTGGCAATGGACGTGCTTGTCTTCTCACGATGACACTTTCTTCTTCCTTTGGACGGTTTACAGCATCGAGTGCTTTATTCACAACTTCCTTGATTCATCTGGACACTCACTTTGCAAAGCTCCAAAGAACCTAAGCAAGAACTGAAGATACAGGCAGAGTACAGCTGATTCAGTACCTACCTACTTCATGGAAAAAGTTTATGGCATCTTTGAATCCTTGACTAGCCTCAAGTAGAGCTCTTACTGCCTCACGGGCAGGTAGGAACGATAAATTGTTGCATAAATCTTCCCAGGAGTTGTACAAGTCAGTTTCATCAAGAAATTTCTCCAGCTTATTCCCAATTAAACCAATCTGTTCTACTATTTCTGACACTTCTCTTGACAATTTTCATCAACTGATCAAATGTTAGTTGATGTGTTTTGGTTGCTGATATGCAAAGTTACTGCGAAACGTAAAAGGGAATGGAAGGAGTACAAGCAGTTTATACGATACACTGAACATTGTAATAGGAGCTGAAACCGAAATGCCTCTGCTCGCTTTTCTGGGACTGACCTCGTGGAATGAATATTGACAACAGAAATAAGTAATGCTAAACCATTTTTAACCTGTTTCTCAAAATCAAACAGCTTTAAATAGTGTATATTGCTGACACAAAGGATCAGGAGACAGAGGAGGTGATGTTAAACGAACATATTAACTTTTTTATGTAAAACCCTATAAAAGATTAAAAGATATCCTGCAAGGGAACAAGCAATCTTGCGAACATTGAGAGAGTTTGACGAATTTTTGTTTACATGCAGTAGATGATTACTTCAAACACATCAAGATGAGTAATAAAACAAATAAAAATTGATATCAGTTCACTTGGGAGGTACCACAAGAACTAAGGGATTGTGTTTATTCAATGTCAAAAATATAAGCATTCCGAACCAAATGGGATTCATTTGATTCTTGTGCATTCACATTCAACAAGATGTATTAGTAGCTACCTGCTCAATTATTACCTAGGACTAGGAGAAAATCTCAGATCAACTTCAAGATAAAATAAATGAGGTACATGCCAAGACCTTGAAACGCTTTCATCCGATGGGGCAGGGGCTGGCCTTCCACTCTCTTATGCAGCATTTACAAATAGCCTCAGCAAGATGGATGACAAGAAGCAATTCCAAATCAGTTGGGAAATTGAAATTGCAAGCCGCAGCTCAAAGCTTCCCTTTATGCTGAGTGCTGAAATCTGTGACATGATTTTGGAGGCATCACAGACACAGGCAATCCATACAATGTCAGGAAATGCAAATGCAGGAATGGTGCGTCAATATAAACTTCATAAACTGCAAGTTTCAATCAAAGTGATTCTAAATGCAAATAAAGACTTGCCTATCGCTTTTGATGACAACATCAAGGCTTTCAACTTCAATACTTGTAGCAGAAATTTTTGCAGATTCACTACAGTTGTGCAACTCTATCCGCTTCAGGGTAGAAATTTCTGTAATACCGTAGGGAACCTCTTTCAGGTACTTGCAAGACTTGAGAACTAGATGCTCAAGACATGGAAAGTGATTGCTTGTGGCCTCCCATGACACTAGATCAGTCTTCTCAACCAGCAAGTGCTTCAAAACACGAAAGCCCCCTTCAGTTGGTTCCCACCTTGGCCCTTGGAAAGCATAATTTTTCAGTTTGAGCACCTCCAGTTTGGGTAACGAGGCAATGGAGGTCATATTCTGCCATGGTTGATAGCTCCAACTTATGGTCAATTTCCTGAGATTAGATGGCAAAGCATCAAGATTCTCCATATTTTTGTACTTTCCCTGTAGAAGCATAGCTTCAAAAGTTCAAGTTCTTGCAAATAGAAAAGCTCTTTTAGGCATTTGGCTGACCAATTTATCTCATAGTCTTCCTTGGTTTCAGACAATCCTAACATGCTTAGAGAAGGCATGCTGATGAAAACTTCCCTGGTGCAGCTTGCAAATCTAATTCCGGACACAACTTGGATGCATTTTGAAGTGAATGGCCATAAACTAATATCCATTTTGACAGAAGGACTTCTTAAACAGCAAGCAACAGTAATATAGAGATGCCTTAACTTTGGCATACTCCAATATTCAAACAACAGATTTGGGGACTCAGCATAATCTGTGCTAGTCCAGGGACCATGAATCACTAGTGTTTGCAGATTCTTGAGTCTAGATAACATTTTGGGAAGCTCAAAAGTGACCATCAGTCCAAGGTAACTCAAATTAACCAGTTCTAGTATTTGAACAGGGAAAGTTTCAAATCGCAGAAAAATCACATCCAATACTTTTAGCAATTTAAAGCCCAACTGGAAGAATAAGATGTCTGGTTCGAAGCCAGAACCCACATCAAAATACAGAAATGATCTGACATATGCCATTTCGGGTGCCAAGTGAACATCAAGATAAGAGTCCTTGTGGAGACTGAGACGGCGCTGATCAGCTATACCTGCAGAAAAACCTTTTATCACAGATAAGAAGTTTTCTTTCTGAGCTTCTCTTAAGCACAGTTCCCACAAAAGATCATGGAGGAGGCATGTTTTGATTTTGCCATCAAAACTCCTTTTTCCAACCAAAACTAAGCTTCTGCGAATGAGGTCTTCCAAGTAATCCACAGCCACTGCTTCTGGATGTTCAAGAACTTTTGGATCCAAGAAGCCCTCGGCTATCCATAAATGGATCAATTTTTGCACTTCAATTTCACAATCTTCAGGGAAAGCCCCCATATACAGGAAGCAGACTTCCAAGTAAGGGGTAGGTGGTTGTAACTTAAAGCAAGCATTTCTAGACAATGTTCGGCGTCAGTGCGTAGGAATGAACTAATGCTGCTTGCTATGGCCCTCCAGGAATCAAGTGTTCTCGTGATACTGCAAAGAAGACCAGCTACAACAACAATAGAAAGTGGCAGGCCTTGGCACCTTTTGGCTATATATTTTCCAACATCTACCAACTCCGGAGGACAACCTTCTACTCCAAACAATATATTTTCCATTAATTTCTAGCTTTCTTCTATGCTTAGCAGGCTCATAAAATGAGGAGGCGTTTTTGGATTGACATAGATAGCCACATCCGTTAAACCGAGTAGTTACTATTACTCGACTTCCATTTTTATCATTTGGAAAAGATCTTTTGACATCATCCCAAGCCTTAGCACTCCACATATCATCCATATCCATGACAATTAAATATCTCCTGCCCTTCAAACTTCTATACAAGACCTCAGCTAATTGGTCATTGGTTTTTGAATAGGTTTCAGCATTGAGTTGACCAACAGAGCTCAAAATGCCTAATAACAAATCCCTCACTTGATAAACTTGGGACACTGCAACCCATGCACGACAATAGAAGTGATAAATGGTGTAAGGATGATCAAAGATGTTTTTGGCAAGTGTTGTTTTACCGATGCCACCCATCCCAACAATCGTGACGATTTCTAGTCTAGATGGAAATCCAGTAATTTGGTCCAGCATTCTACCCAAGTAGTCATCAAGGCCAACCACAATATGTTGCTTATTTGAATCGTGCTGTAATGAGCCCCTGAGTGAAGCATTTCCTGACTGCAAATATTCCTTGCCACCAGCTCTTTTATCATACATCTTCCTCATCATTTGTCTAACTGAACGAGCCAGCTGCAGTGTCTGCAACAAACCTTGACAAATCCCACTCTCTCCATCAAAGAATTTCCTAACTACTTTCCGGACGTAATGAATCCCTATCAGTGATTCTCTTTGATCACCGAGTGTTACATGTATGAATTCAATGATCTTTGACTTCATTGGATTATCAAACAGATAATCATCAATAATATCTCCGGCCTTGTTAGCGAGATCTCTTAAAATTTTCACCACTTGGTGATCACCACAGAATTCATTTGAAGAACTCTCAAGAAAACTTAGCAAATATCGTAGATCCTGGCAAAGAACTGTCATCTCCATGGCCATTCTATGGGAAACGGTTATGGCATGTCTGAGTTTGTCACTGGCCTGCAGCAATTTTACCACCCAGGCACAAGAAGGTTGTCTTGAATGTTCTCCCACCCTGTTGTTGTGGGGATATGTTGTCCTACCGAACAATTTCATCAGCTCTGCCCTAAAATGACCCATTTCTTCCAGTACTTTGGGACATTTTTCCAACATTCTTGGTGGTGATCTATGCTCAACCAAAAACATGTTTTGCAATATCTCAAAAATTTTTGATACTAGCTTATGAGTATTAACTGTCTCGATAAATTCTCCTACAGTCAATGCTAGAGGTTCAGTTGTCGCGATTAATGTCCTTAGATGAACCTTGGACATAGTTGAGGTTCTTCTGGAAAGGTTTAGGGCCTTGTCAACTTTGTTATTGAAAGCTTTGGCTTGCATTTGATTAATTTCTAGAATCAGACATGGGAATCGCAATAGATGCTCTAGTGATTGCAAGAGAGAAACCACCGCAGAATAAGCCATCTCAAAGTAAAAGCTTATGAAACCACAAGAAAAGCTTATACAAAAATGAGACTGGAAGGAAGGAAAAAAAAACTGAATGAATGTCACAGGGATAATGAACTGAAAAAAAGGCAGTTACTTACCTGCTGCAGTTTTGATACTTAATCCATGATCAAAACAGAAACTAAGAACCACATCAGGACCTCACTCACCTTAGTGGAAGGAGAAAAATCAGAAATTTGCACTCCCCATCTACTTGTATCTGGTCAAAAGAGAAACCAAGTACCACAGGACATGCTGAAAGTCGGCACCATTGTCAACTTCTCACATTTTTCCCATTGTTGGTGGGCGCTGTCCGTAGACGAAAGGGAGGTGTGTACTACTTTCTCATTTTACACTCTAAGCACTTAATTTTGAACATTTTACACCTTACATTTTTAAATTTTGTCAAATTAAAATTCAATTAATAATTACATTCACAAAATTAACTAGAAAGGAAGGTGAAAATTAATGATAATATACTGTTTCCTTAGCTTTTTTTTTTTTACCACTTTCAGTACATTATCTTTGGTCATTTTTTGTTTTGAGCGATCAAATCTTGATTTTCCCTAGTCCTCCCATCCCGGTGATTTCCTGTGGATTCTCCTCTTCCACAACTTATTCTACAGGCTCAGATCTCTCGGATTCAGAACTTAGTAATTGCGTAATAAGTCAAAAGATAGTAGGCTCTCTTAGCTTTGCCTTCTTGCCCCTTGATCAATTACTACTTAGTATAGTAGTTTTATGCTGCTTAGATATGTTGTATGCAAAACTTTCTGATCGTCATATTTCCTGACCATGGTTCTAGCCGAAAAGGGCTTGGATTTTGGGGATACTCCTAAAATCTGGAATGGGTTCAAGATGCAACGAAACTGATCTTTTATGCGACTTGCCACCATGAATATACCGGATAATAATGAAAATTCTGCATCCCAGAACATTGGAATCTCCTAGCTCATTAGACATGGAATAGAGGAGTTAGATACCATAGCACCAACTAAAGAAATAGCAAAATATCCCCCAAAATTTTAGGAAACGATTGCTCCAGAATTGAACTTACGATATTCTGTACCAGCCTATCAGGGCCCAGTGGCTCCTCCCCTACATAATCGAGGAAGTTGCAACTTTTGCATTCTACTGATTGTACATGTGATTTCTCATCAGATCAAAGGAGCACTACAAGGATTGCATAAATAGCTGAAGCCCGATAAAATTTTGTCGACTTTATTTTGGTGGTTTTTTCTTTGTTTTATTTGGATGGTGTAGAAGCAATACTGCTTGGCAGTGGCGGGGGTTGGATCTTTTAGGAATAATTGACTTGCTGTCTATTGGCCTGTCTGGTCAATTTGCAAAACAGCAGAGACATCAAACACTTAACCTGAGCTTGATGATCAAATGGGCATATAGACATCAAACACTTAATCGGCACTCGTTTCTCATCCATTTTTGAAGACAATAAAATAAACAATTAACGCATTCAATGAATTTGATGGAAGACAGAAATGGAAATCTAAGCCTAGATTAACAACAATAACAACGTTGGTAAGCTTCACTTTGAAAATTGGTTCTCTAACAATTAGATTACCACAAAACTACCCAATCACGAATGAAATTAGTTAAATAAATTTTCTCTTGCATTGTGTTCCCACGTTCACATATAGTTTATCAAGGTGTGAAGCACTTGGTTTGGCCTAGAAGATCAAGATCCTGTAAGATCCCCATTCTAGGCTTGCATCCGGAGACTGAAACTTGGCCAAGAAAGTTTTTAACATCCTCGTATATTATTACCAAATTCTGATGCAAACCAAAACCCGCATCAAAGAGACGTACCTAGTTTGAGGATTCAAGCTAACATGGATTTCAAATAGAAAATTCTTTACTGCTACTGCGCAGTTCTTGGTCTGGGAATATATGCATTCTTAAGTGTCCTTCATATAAAGCACTTCTGTTTTCTTTTAGAAACAAAATTTAACAAGGTGTTTCATTTGCATTAGTATATCACAAGGACATTTTGCAGCAAGTATCTTGAAACTAAACTTTTGTACGCCAAGGTTAAAATAACTTTTGTACCTATTCTAAATGCACACCGCTTTCTTTCCTAGAAAATGCATAATAAAGTAACTATGTATTCTTTTTAACATGCACGAATCTACATAGGTATCTGTTGGTAAATTAAATACCCTGCAATGCTTCAACAATTGAAAATCGGGGAAGATTAATCTCTTGGACAGTACAAAGCTGTGCTGATCATGTTCTGAGCAATTCTCTAGAAAACTATGATCAACGAGAACAGACACCAGATTACATGATTTATGACGAAAGAGGAGTAGAATTTTACCACAAAGTAGAGCAGTCACAAAAGAGTAGAGTTTCACCATGAAACAGAGTATAAAAGCTATAAAAAAGTGTTTCTAGTCCCAAAAGCATTTAATTACTAAAACACAAGAGAACTCAAAATATTTATTCGATGAACCAAAGGTCTAAATAACTCATTAAAAGCTCTCTTAGTGGTTTGGTGATCAACGGACCCATACCGTGAATATAGTAATCTTGCTCTATCTTCTTCGCAAAACTCTTCACGAGCTATTTCTCCATTATTGGTAGCAGCAGCGCATACATTCTAGAGCTATTTCTCCATTTGTGGCAGCAATACCACATACATTCTGGTTCTATTAACATAGTTTGTCATCATTGTCGGAACTTGACGCTTAACCAGTCTAGTACTAGACCTAACACTAACAACGCTTCTTCTTTTTCCTCGAAAAACACGTAGATAATTAACCTGTTTGTTAGATCTTGTTTAAGGCGGCAAAAAAATTAAGCTACTCATGAGCAGCTGGAGTCAAAACTCGACTTAAGTTCGATCAACATCAAACTCAAGTCTTTTTTAAGCGCTTGAGCTAGCTCGAGTTGCGCTCGCTCTCGAACTCGAGCTCGAGCTCGTGCTCGAGCTTGAGCACGAGCTCGCGTTGGCGAACGAGCTCGAACTCGAGCTTGAGCTGGCACCGGCGCTCTAGCAGCACAAGCTCGAGCCGGCGCTCGAGCAACATGAGCTCGCGTTGGCGCTCGAGCTTGAGCTTGAGCACAAGCTGGCGCTGGCACTCGAGCTTGAGCATGAGCTCGCGCTGGCGCTCGAGCTTGAGCTCGAGCACAAGCTGTAGCTCGAGCTCGAGCTGGAGCTGGCGCTCGCGCTCGTGGTCGAGCTGCACGAGCTCGATTGCCAGCTCCAGCTCAAGCTGCACGAGCTCTCGCTCACGCTCTTG